TAAAATGCTTTTCAAACAAATCAACTAAACCGACATCTTTGGTATTCTGCAGATTATTGAAATTGAGAATATTCTGTTGGGCGCCACCAAACAATATGACTACAACATAGAATAGCAAGGTCACTTTAATACTACGGTATAAGGAGTTAAGTGTGAATTGAATAAGTTATGTGTAAAAGACATACTTTCCCCAAACGGCGATGCAATGGCCGAATGCCAGAGACGAGGCTTATTGAATGGTAAGTTTATACTGATCCATGTCATGGACTGGATATCTAATATCCAACAATCACTGAGAGGTCTATTATCTTGACTGAATCCTCCGTATAATACTATTTGTTGGTCAGATAAAGGAGTGAATGAATGCCACGATCTGCCGATCGGTACAATGGATTCATTTGTGTCATAAGCCATGACTTCATTCCAAGACATTTGTCTCATATCAATAGAGTAGATGTCATTCATTCGCAATCCTTGATGTCTTCCACCAAAAATGAAGACTTGATGTGAGACTATTGCTGCGGCGTGTGCTGCACGAGGTAAGGGTGCTATGCCTTCAACGTGAGGCCAAACCCATTGGTCGCCTTCAATGTCGTAATAAACCAATTGATTATTCCATCCTCTCTTGTAATGCTTTATATTGAAGACGTGAAGATTATATAGTTGTTCATCAATTCAATTGACACACATGTAAGACATACCCAATGGGATTTCGGGTCGAAAACAAACTGATAATTATAGTCATCAGTGTCTGGGATACAGCCATAACCACCGAATATATAAATTCTGATAAATGGGGTAATTATGAGTAAATGAGACAATTTGTTAATTGTATGGATTGGTAGCAAAGTGTCATACCTTTGGTTGTAATGCCAACAAACACTCTTATCACAGGCAACCGGTCTATTGCCCGATGGGTTCAATAGTTTCCATTTCAATGTTCTCACATTAAGTCTGTAGAGTTGGTTAGAGTTTCCCTCTTCATTATAACCGCCAAACATATAAATATAACAACCATTTAGTAGACAACAGGCGCCCGAAGTGCCGGTCGGTATATCGGCCGCTGATGTCTCT